GCGCAGCAGCAGCAGCCCCCAAGCAGGCAGTGGCTGCACCCAATGAATGAAGGAGTGACTGGGTGACCCCTGGCTGCCCCTCCTGTGTCCCCCTTCACCTGCTCCTGAATACCCACATGGAAACTCTGGTGCCCTGGAGGGTCCCTCCCTTCCCAGGGCCCTTCCCCTGCCTCTTCTCGCCCCACTCCTGCAGGCCTTCTTCACTTTCTGCCAGGACCTGGCTCCTCTGCCACGGTCCCTCCCCCTGGGCTGGGGCTGTTCACAGCGCAGGCTCGAGCACCACGTGGCTCACCACGTGGCTCGCTTAAGCTGCCCCGCCACTTTGCCATGCTGCTCAGTCTGGCACGTTTCCTGCCTGGCCCGAGGGAGTGCCCAAACCTCTGCAGCCCACACGTGGCCTCTGCTGTCCTGCCCTGACTTCACCCAGCACTTCATGGCTCCTTTCAGCATCACCTCTGGGGACCCCTTCCAGAGCACCCCGATGGACGAAGCCCCACCCGGGGCAGCCTGTGCACCTTGTCAGTTTCTGTCAGCCCACTTGTTGATCCACGCCTGTCAGGTGGCTGTCCTGGGCCAGGACCTGTTCTAGGGACTGGAGAGAAGCTGTGAACCTAATGGCACTTACCGCTCTCCCAGGGTGTACCCCGTCATGGCAGCTGGTTAGCTCCCTGGCCGGGAAGTCACTCGGGGCACAAACCTTGCAGCTCCTGCTCTCGCCCACCCGAGCTGCTCCAGAACCCAGGTTCCCCTGAGTGTGGTTCTAAGCGAGGGAACCGGCCGAGTGGTACCCGGCAAGGCCCTCCTCCCAGGGCCGCTCCTGGACGCTCCCCTTGTCACCCTGCAGGAAGGCCCCTAGGGGAGGCAGGAGATCCTCCAGGCAGTATGAGGTCGCACTGTGGGCCTGGATCCTCGCAGAGGGTGCGGGCAGGGAGGGCGTTCAGACAGGCTCCATGTGCCTCTCCCACCGTGTACAGGGTTCGAGTCCCCTGCAGGAGCTGTCCCGTCGCCCTCAGCGCCCCCAGCTCCCCCATGGCAGGGCCGCAGTGTGGCCAGCTCCAAGCTCTGGATGTTGGAGTTCTCCGCCTTCCTGGAGCAGCGGCAGGACCCGGACACGGTAGGGCTTACCTGCTCCAGCTCCTTCCCACCTGCTCCTGGCCCTGTGCTCTGTCCCGCTCCGCTTCGGGCTTAATTTAGGGCCCACATTCCTTCTCTACTTTCCCTTCCTATTCCTTTCCAGCCTTCTCCACCTCCCTCCTCCCTCTCCTTCCTGTTTCCCCTTGAGCTGGAATGCTGCCAACAGAGCCTTCTCCCCGACCAGCTCACGTGGGCTCCGCCCTGCTCCCCCATGCTCATTTTCTTCCTCCCCCAACTCCCAGCGCTTGATCCAAAGTTGCTCTCATCCCAGTCCCGCCCCTCCTGTCTTCTGCTGGCTCTGAGGGCACAGAGGAAGCAGAGGAGCCCCGAGTCCGACCCCCAGCCTGGGAGAGCAGCGGCCCTCTCCAGCCTCCCCTGGCAGTGCCTCCTGTCCGGGGTGTGCAGGGTCACCTGTGAAGGGCCCAGCAGTGCCTGGAGGGGGCCAGGTGGACAAGATGCCGACGACATCTCACTCCGATCTAACTTAATTTTAGCCCAGGAGCCCAGTACTCAGACATTCCGACTCAGAAGCCTGGAATTTATAATAAAGCAAAAGTAGACCATTACCGCATCAGTGTTCCTGCGGAAACGGAACCTGGAGGGGTGCCGTGCCGCTGGTGGCTCCGGGTCGTGTGGCGGGCTGCTGCTCGCCAGGCCTCAGCCCTGTCCTCCCGACCCCCACAGTACAACAAGCACCTGTTCGTGCACATCGGCCAGTCCAGCCCAAGCTACAGCGACCCCTACCTCGAAGCCGTGGACATCCGCCAGATCTACGACAAGTTCCCGGAGAAGAAGGGCGGGCTCAAGGAGCTCTTTGAACGGGGACCCTCCAACGCCTTTTTTCTCGTGAAGTTCTGGGTAAGCCCCTCGGCAGACTCCCCCTCCTACCCCTGGGCGTTCATGGCGGGGCAGAACAGGCGGACCGTGCACAGTGCCCTCGCCACAGGCGGAAGGGGACGTGAACGGGCAGCCCCAGCGAGGGCGCCGGAGCACGTGCCTGACGGCCTCTCCTGGCAGCCCGCCAGAGCGCTGGGCCGAGGGCAGGGGAGGCTCGGATGGACAGCGGTGTCCTGGGCAGACTCGCAGGTGGAGCACCTGGTCTCGTCAAGCCCGAGGGGCCAACGCTGCATTGATTTGGCGGCCCAGAGCCAGGCCCTGGGCCTTGACAGCACACCTCCGCGGTGAGCTGGGCTGGACGGGACTTGGAGACCGGGAGTGTGGGGTAGACAGCGCCGCCGAGATTCGGCCCCTGTGCTCTCCCTCCTCACCCCTGCAGAGCCCTTCCATTAGACCAGAAGTCATCTCAGGGGGCCTGGCACACACACAGGGAGGTGCTGGCAAGTGTCACCAGAGGAGGGGCGGGAGCCCTGCGGCTGGCTGTGACCCCAGGCTCGGGGCCCACCACATTCTGCACCCACACTCCTTTGCAGTTCTGCTGACTTTCAGCTCTGCGCATGCCCAGGGGACAGCCGGCTGCCTCGGTACTTCGTGCTGGGAGATTCTGGCGTTCATTCGCTCCCAGGCCGCTTCGGTAACCTGAAGGCGTTCCTTTTCTTAGACACTTTATCTACATTAGAGTTTATGTGTATATTATAAAGTACACATATGTATTTATTGAGCTGACTGACAACGGGCCCTGGCTAGGAACTCCCAGCCAAGCTCTTCTCCATAACAGAAGAGCCCCCCAACCCCCCAGGGCTGGGGGCTCCAAAAGAGGCCTAAAGCCGAGACCCAGGGCCCAGATCTCGAGGGTTAGGGTTTGTACCCTGCAGGGTGCTTGTCTGTGAGGAAGCTGGACCTGGGCGTGGGGACAGACAGCTCCAGAGGCAGTGGTGGGGACGGCTGTCCAGCAGGGGGCGTGTGTGAGCGGGTGGGAGGAAGTGGCTCTGGAGGCGACTGGGTGAAGGCAGTGTGTAAGAGGGGACAGGCGAGTTAGGTCCCGGAAGGTCCCGATCACAGGAGCCTGAATTTTTCAATCTATGTTGGGATAAAAAATAGCTAATCTTGGGCAGCACTTGGTGTGGAGGTTAAGGCACTGGATCCTACATGGTTCAAATCCCCGACCTGGTGGCTTGAAAATCACACCAGGTGACTTTGGGGTGCCTGTGCTCATGCCCCAAATGCCAGGGGAGATTAGAGAAGCGGGTGCACTGTGGCTATCCTCCCTGCCAGGGGTGTGATGGCTCATGTCTCTCCCTGTCTCTTTGTGGTGAAACATGTACCTTATGGCAAAACTAAAAAAGGAAAGAAAAAGGTTGTATTTCTTTACTTAACCTCCTTTCTATTTTTAAAATGTATTTACTTATTTATTTTCAGATTTTTGCCATAGGGTTTGTGCACTTGCCTGAGCGAGACTGAGGGAAAGGGAGGAGTCACCGCCCAGGGGAGTGGCCGTACCACAGTCCCTTCTCTGTTCTCCCCTCAGGACTGTGGGCACACACACGCGCGCGCGCGCACACACACACACACACACGTATGCCTGGCGTGGTTTTCAAGTCACTGGGTCAGGGACTCAAACCACCGTTGGCCACGTGGGAGACCAGCACCTTAACCACCATGCCGCCGTTGCCCCCCAAGCCAGGAGGTATGTTCTGATTACATTTCATTTCTCACATAGCTGTTGGTGTTTTCCTCAGATAAGGAGCGTTTTCACTTGCGTGCTGTTAAGTGAACCTGTTCTTGAGATTTTATGATGCGTTCCATCATAACCACCATATATGAAGGGACTTCAAAAAGTTTGTAGAAAATGGAATTACAGTACGACTTTATGTTGGTGTGAAAACATTTCGAAATTCAGGCACTGTTTTTTCATAATGTGTATTTTCCACGAACTTGCTGAAGTGCCCTTTTAAAATCGAATTTTTTTCCCTAAAGCTTCACCCTGTTAGATGAGGTAGTGATCCAGCCTGTCGTTGGGCCTCTTCCTCCGGGCGCTCCCCAGACACCCTGCTCTCCTGCTCGCCCAGCCTGAACCGTGGCTGTGGCCTGCTCCGCAGCTCAGGTGCTCTGTGTTGGGTCTACAGCCTCCGAGGTCTCACACTTCTCCCTTACTCTCCTGGAGCACACCCTCTAGTACCTTCTAAGAAAAGACGCACAGCCTTGCCTGTTTGAAATGTCTTTGTGTGTGTGTGTGTGTGCCCACCTTTTTTAGGTGTTGGTAATATTCCGTATTGTTTTAGGCACTGTCCAGTCCAGGTGAGGACCATCCCAGGCCCCCATGTCACAGACGGGGGAACCGAGGCATGGAGTAAGCAGGGCCTGGCACTGAGGCACCCAGCCAGGGCAGGGGAGTCTCTTTTCCGGGGTCACCCTGGGTATGGACGTGCTGTGAGGTCAGTCAGGGCAGACTGAAAGGTGACGGCAGCGTCTGCTCCTTACGGGATACGGCCACACGGTCTGTCCCCACAGTGACCTCATCTGCAGGAGGAAACTGAGGCACAAGCAGGTTAAACAACTTGCCAGAGGCCACGCTTTGGTTTGACCAAAGGGATGCGGCCAGGCAGACTGTACCTGGAGCTGAGACGTGCAGTTGTCCTGCCGGGCCGAGGGCCTGGGCCGCCCCGCATCATCCTGGTACCTCTGCTCCTCTGGGCCACCTGATGCGACCCCAGCCCCTGGGCAGACGGCACCCCGATGGCGCGGTCAGCACAGAGTCAGCAGTGGGCGTGGTGTGGATGCCAGGCCTCCCTGGAAGATGAGGCAGAGGCGGGCAGGCAGCATGGAGGTGCCGGCATGCCCCCCAGCCTTGCTCCTGGCCCTGTCCCCCCTCTCTGACTCTGAGGGGCGGAAGTAGAGCTGCTGGGAGAGCAGCTTGGACAGCGGGTACTGAGGAAGAATGATGGGGCGGGCTCCGCGTCTGCACGTGGCGCTCCTGTGCTGCGGAGACTGGTGTGGCCTGGCCTTCCCGGACTCGGTCCGACCGGCTCTCAGGGTCCTGGGCAGCGACCACCATGCAGAGAGCAGAGGCGAGGCCTTGCGCTGCACCAGAGGGGCGGGGACTCAGTCTCGATTGCTCCACGTCAGGGCCGTGTCCAGGGCAAACCTGGCCTCCCCGTGTGTCCCTGAGCTGCCCCTGCCTGTTGCCTGAGCCCCCAGAGCAGGGCCCTCTGTGGGTGCCAGCGGTGTCAGGGTCAGGCGGGTGAAACCAGAGATGGGGCAGCTGGAGGCTGGGGCAGTTGTCAGTCACCTGGTCCCTCCGCGCGCCAAGGCCAGGGGCACCAGAGATAGTCCTGGGGGCGGGGGGGGGGCAGCAGCCTTCGCATCGAGGGGTCCCGCAGTTCCAGCTCCTGGTCTAGAACCCTCTGTCCCTGCCCCCTGGCCTGGCTTCCTTCCTTGCTCTTAGCTGGCATGAACTTGAACTCAGCCCGCAGTCAGGAAGGGAGCCCTCAGACACAGAAACGCCGCCTCCGCCTCAGTGCTCCCTTCCGCTCTGCCCGACTGCTTCTCGGGCTGACCAAGCATGCTGCTGAGCCGAGCAGAGCCTCCTGGAAGTGGGAGCAGGGCCTTGAGTCCCCACTGTCCCCCGGGAGTTATTCTTGATGGGACGGCAGAGGCGCTCACGGCTCATGGCCTGCTGAGATGGGCTGTGCTGGCAGGGGCGGCTCCAGCAGGATGGTTGGGGTACAGAGGTGGGCCCTGTCCTGAGCACTGAGATCAGCAGGGGCCACTTCAGGCCTTGGAGTGGGGAGAGGGACACAGACGCTGGTGGCCGTGTGGGCAGTACCCAGGCCTTCTGTCCTCGCCTGGCCAGCCCACCCCTTGGCCACTGACATTTCTCCCAGGCACATCCCGGCACATGACAATGAATCCGAGCCCCTCCTGGCCCCCACGCTGCCCGGCTGTCTCGGCTCAGCTGTCGGCCCCCCATCCCC